TCCATCACTTCCGGTCATCACAGAAAGTGATTTAAAAAATTGAAAATGATTTTTGTACATGTTATTAAGACTATATAATTGTCTAAAGTAAAGTAAAATATCTTTTTAAATTATACCTCCGGCTGTTTGTTTTCCTGAAATCATTTAAAATATTATATGCCTTTTTTAACATAGATAAAAAGCTCATTCATTCAGATAAATAGAAGAGAACGGAAGACCTTCTTTGTTGCTGTAGCAACAAGAGTTTCTAGTTATTATTATTATTATTATTATGTTCCCCAAACGAAGTTGGGGAACATATTGTTTTTACTCTGTTTCTTATTATTATGTTCCCCAAACGAAGTTGGGGAACATATTGTTTTTACTCTGTTTCTTATTATTATTATTATTTTTCTTCCTGGGAAAATTTTGTCCACGAGTGATCTTGTAAACTACACATCCGACTAAGGTAAAATGTTTTTAGGGTCAGTAGACATGTTATGTAGATTTGCCGAACGAAGGTCATTTTGCGCGCACGTGCTTGCAAGAGCGCGCACGTGCAACACGAAAAATGACCGATATCATGGATATTGCTGTAACTTTTCTTTTTCTTGATGAATTTTTTTGAAACTCATTATGTAAGGATACATTAGTAGTATAGACAAGATGGCATGGTCAAAATAGCAAGATCTCACGCGCATGCACGTGCACTTCGCTCTGATTGGCTAAAACTAAAGTCTCAATATCTTTCTTGTTTCTTGTCATAATCTTTTGAAATTCTGAACATAGTCCTTCATTATGAAGATCTACAGCATGATATATAAAATTTTTCATGAAAGCATGCGCATGCGCGCGTGCTGCAATGTGATTGGCTGAAACTTTAAATGGCTATATCTCCTTTGTTTTTTGACGAAATGCGTTGAAATTTAAAACATAGTCATTCATTAGGATATCCTAAAATATGATATAGAAAAAAAAGTCATGAAATCACGCGCATGCACGTGTGCTACAATCTGATTGGCTGAAACTTTATATGGCTATATCTCTTTTGTTTTTATGACGAAATGTTTTGAATTTTAAAATATAGTCATTCATTTAGATATCCTCTAATATGATAAAGATAAAAATTTATGAAATCATGCGCATCCATGTGTGCTGTAATCTGATTGGCTGAAACTTCAAATGGCTATAACTCCCTTGTTTTTCACCCAAACAGGTTTGGATTTAGAACATACATAAATATAAGGGACCCTTACAAGAAGGTGTAGTCATTATGCACGTGCTTGCGCGTGCGTGCACGTGAAATGAGTAAAATTAAAAATACACTCCAATGAGTGTATATTTTAATACTTTTGGATTACAAATGTAAATGCTTTGATATTAAGTAAATTAAAATTTGAGAGAGTGTAGACAAGTTGATATGGTTGTTACGCACATAAACACGCGTGCAATGCGTATTTTAAAATATATTTCGTATTTTTCTGGGAAGACCTTGATTAAGTCTCAATTCCATAAAGTATATCTTATCTAATAGAGATTACAGGGAATATGGCACCGAAAGGGAGTTGGGGAGTGTTTGGGGAACATCTGTAACGGTTCCCGTTACAATTAGCACTAGTTATGTCGCCCCGAACGAAGTCGGGGACGACATATTGATATTGTACGCATGTTTTTTTTATCCAGGCTGTTTCTCGGAGATGGCTGGGACAATCTTCCTGAAACTTTCCTTCAAGGACGATCACTGGTTGTAGTTGTGCAGTGAGGTCGTTCAGTTCCAATATGTCTACCGTTGCCATGGAAACCTGTAAAAAGCGACAAATTTTGTCCGAGAGTGTTCTCTCTGGTCCCTTAAACGTTCGTCATGAAACTTTTCTTATTTTAATGATTAGTATCTGTAGTTCTGCAACTCGTATTTAAAATTTTCATATAATCGATTATTGCCATGGAAACCAGGTGAAAGTTAAAATTCTTTAATTTCCATTTTCTCAATAACTACTCAGGCAATCGTTTTGAAACTTTCAATGTTTATTCCTTGCAATGTGTCAAAGTGATTTCTACTTTCAAAATAATTGTAATGAGTCGCTCACGGTTGCCATAGAAACGAAACAGAAAAAAAGATTCAGATGTACACATGTGTTCTCCAAGGTCTAGGTCAAAGGGTCAAAGTTCGTCGTATCCAATAAAAGTTCTTTTCACAAGGATTACATATTTGAAATACGAAAGCCCTAGTACTTACCGTTCAAACGTTATGGCTATTTACTATGTTCAAGACGCCCCCCCCCCCCCCTCTTTTTATGAAGCACACAGCCAAGTAGAATACACAGATATAACATATACAACTTACAAGTAACTTTTTAAAATCTTCATTCATAAAATTCAGTTCCCGTCATGTGATATTTTGCCATCATTCATTCTCCTTCTGTTTTGTCTCTTGAATTTATAAATATTTTATTTTATCTATATAAAAAAAAAATAACGATTGTCAGCTGCATTTATTATCATTTCGCGTTTTCTTGTATATCTATCACTTGTATATTATTCATTTCATTAGATAGTGCAAGTATAAATTAAAAAATTGGTACGTCATTTCCATAGTTTTTATTCATTCATAAATTCTTTGATCCGCTCCTGATGGTTCGCAAAGCCTTGATCACCACTGTATACAAAACATTCATCTCGCCGAAAATGTTCATGATTCCGCTAAACTGAGAAAGTTCACACATGATTTATTATCTCATAACACACATCAGCTCTCTGCAATGCAGAAATGCTCGAATTGATGGTGGCATGTCAGATTCGTTTTTCGGTAGAACCTCTAAAATGAAAGTGAAAGAGGGAAATTTCAGAGTTCTCACTGGCGTTACAATACACAAAATAATTCGGCTGATCTTCTTCATAAATTACATTTCCCAAGCTTTTATCATAGGAAAGATACTGCCAATTAACAAGTATGAGGCTCAGTTCAGTACATCTGCCAGATTTCTTTTATGCAAGTCTGCAAATTGAGGAACTTGTAACTTTCTTCTCCTACCGATTCTAAAAATAACTAGAGCAAAGCTCGTTGCAAAGCAACGAGTGGGTCTTCCTTCCTAGCGATAAGCAAAAGATTAAATGTTTCTGTCTAGATTGTCAACTTTGCTAACATTCTCTTTTTCGATTTGTCTCAAAAACCCTTACTTGAATTCTTTAATTTGGTGTGAGCATGAGGTCTAAAGGGTACTCTCTCTAACAGCATTCTTGAAATCGTATCCACAACAATTTAACTTCCAGTATTATGACTTTTGATAACGGATATATCATGTTTGTTGCAATTATGTTTGTGAAACGTGTCATACTACAGAAACATAAGTGTTTTGCTACATTACCATCTTAAAAATGGCTTTAAAATCATTTAATATACAATATAACTAGGTAAATAAAATAAACAAATTATATAATAATTCAAAAAATCCAAATGTATTTACAATAATGATGAACAATCTTCATTAGTTGCAATCTGTAAGTAGAACAATACTTTTATAATAAACGCACAGAAATGTGTTGTGTATGTTTCGAATTTGAAGCTTTCCACTAGCAACTGGTGGTACCTCAATAGGAGTGTAAAATTCTCTGAAAGGTATATTGTGAACATATTACATATGGCTGTGTATTCTTTTTTAGCGGCTTTGGCGGAATGCAGCCATCACTAAATCAAGTACAAAGCTAAAAGTCTTGTACATAAACATAAATAAGAATATCTACGCTAACTTATTCAAAAGTCAATTTCCACCAAATATTGTACAAGCTAAATATAATACATTTACAGCATTAAAGAAACAAATCTCTTTGAAGGTATTGCCCTGCATAAGAACAATTTGAATCCCCTACACTAAGGATGCTCTGTGCCAAGTTTTACTTTGGTTCTGGAAAATGATATTGTGAAATTTTAGACAATGATGATAATGGATAAAATTATGTTTTTAAAAAATTTACTGGTTCCTTTAGCTCAGATGGGCTAATAAGTATGCAACAGGCACAGTTTTGGAGTTGACATTGAAATGCGACTGGACATCTCTTCAATCTTGTTTTAGAAAACTACATGTACATGTGAGAGCAATTGATATGTTCATATTTGTGGATTTATGTTGTCAAATCAAAATTTATAATTGATACACAGTGTGTTTTAAAATTGTCTTCACAAACCAAAACTTGACTCATTTTCACTATGCTGTTTATTCCATGTCACATCCAAACAGATGATCTTCTGGCAAATCATGGTCATGCTTGGTATCAAAATTCAGTATTCAGATGAGTCACACCTATCCAAAAGAAATTGAAATTTTTTAATTTATAATTCTTTTACTAATAAAAAGTGCAATTCATGAGATTATAAATTAGATTATCAAATTGAGAGATAAGATATTGTCACATTTTCTGTGTATAATTTGTAAATTTTAATGTACTCTTTCATCAATTAAAAGAAGTTTACACCAATTAAGGCAGTCATTTATGCTATCCCCTAATAAGACAACATACAAGTGCAAAGTAATAATGCACTAGCGGGTTTAGGATAATGTGCTAGAGTATTTATGACAACATACTAGCACGAGGTGACAATGTGCTAGCATGTACGTCAGTGATAATATGCCAGCACACTGAATCCAACATGCAGTGAAGCTAACACTCAACAGATTGTTTAGAGTTGTGTTTGCATGATATTTTGTTTTGTGTAAACACAGCAGCGTGTTGTTTAAAGCTGCATTGGAGTGGCAGTCTGTTGAAATTAACATGCTAACACACTGCAACTTCACATCATTGGAACACCATAATTTTAAAACTGGCAAACCAATATCTTATGATTACTAACTAGGTAATTGCAACTGTAAATGCTGATTTCATGGTGACAATAATACCGGTAATTCACTGTATATCTGAGAACTGATCAATTATAATAAGGCGTGTCCAGATAGGGCCACTTGCTAAAGCTCAATAGCACTTTCATAAAAGTGTGCCATCTTACCGACACAAAAGACGCCATTAGGCTATCACACAGCTCGCCATCACAACACTGAAAAACACTTTCGCACTAACACAAGTTCGCACCACATGCTGTCACACTAACACACAACACACTGTCACGCTAATACAATTTCACACAACAAAATATCAGGCTAACACGAGTTCACACAACACACTATCATGCTAACACAAATTCACAAACACGCTGTCTCGCTAACACAAAATCACACAACACGCTGTCTTGCTAACACAAGTTTTACACAACACGCAGTCTCGCTAATACGAGTTCATACAATACACTGTCTAGCTAACACAAGTACATGCAACACACTGTCACGCTTAGATGAATTCACACAACACACTGTCATGCTAACATGAGTTTACAAAACACGCAGTCTCACTAACACGAGTTTACACAATACACTGTCACGCTAACACGAGTTTACACAATACACTGTCACGCTAACACAAAGTCACAAAACAGGCTGTCTCACTATTCACTAACACAAGTTCGCACCAAATGCTGTTGCGATAACACACTGTCATCCTAATACCATTTCACACAACACACTGTCATTCTAATACCATTTCACACAACACACTGTCAGGCTAACACAAGTTCACACAACACACTGTCACGCTAACACGAATTCACAAAACAGGCTTTCTCACTATTCACTAACACAAGTTCGCACCAAACGCTGTTGCGATAACACACTGTCATCCTAATACCATTTCACACAACACACTGTCATCCTAATACCATTTCACACAACACACTGTCAGGCTAACACGAGTTCACACAACACACTGTCACGCTAACACAAATTCAAAAAACATGCAATATCCCTAACACGAGTTCACATAACACGCAGTCTGGCTAACACGAGTTCACACAATATGCAATCTCGCTAACACGAGTTCACACAACACACTATCTCTCTAACACCAGTTCACACGACAAATTTTCAGGATAACAAGTTCACACAACACACTGTCACGCTAACACGAATTCACACAACATGCTGTCTCATTAATAAGAGTTCACACAACACGCTGTCTCTCTAACATGAGTTTACACAACACGCAGTCTCGCTAACACGAGTTTACACAACACGCAGTCTCACTAACACGAGTTTACAAAACACACTGTCACACTTACACTTTATACACAATTTCACACAACACGCTGTCCCGCTAACACGAATTTACACAACACATCGTCAAGCTAACAAGAATTCACACAACCCACTGTCAGGCTAACACAATTAAGTTCACAAAACACACTGCCTTGCTAACACAAATTCATACAACACACTGTCTCGCTAACACAAGTTCACACAACACACTCACATTGCTGAGTTTAAAGTAAAGGTCTACCCTAATTTGAAGAGGTTTAACACTAACATATCTCTATATTAGTAAAGAGCTTCAAATTTAAGACAAAAACATTTATGCAGTAATGTTCCTTAACATGCATCTGGCATATAAAATGAATGAGACCTTAAAAACCTCACGGTACATGTTTACTTAGCTAAGTAAAGGTCTAAATTGATGCTATTCAACAATATATATCAACATCTCTAAGTATGTGAATGAGTGAAATTCTCAAATAAATATTATAAATCAAAGTATCAATAAGAAGCTGAACCTTACGTCGCAGGTTCCAATCCCATTGCTAAATGCTTTAGACAGGTTACTCCTATGAGACTGCATAAACCAAGATTCTGTGTCACGGTAGGTGTTAGCACAAAATGGATCTCATACTTCTTAAAGGCAATAAGTGCTGAGTACAAGTCTATATTTGCAGCTAATACCATCCCAAGTGGTGGCACCATGAAATGACTGAAAAATGTATGATTAAGGCAAATAAACAAACATTAAACCATTACAGCAGTCTTATCAAACAAAAAAGCAAACTTTCTATTATTACAATTTTTTTAAACAAATTTCTTTTGCAATTTAACTGAGCAATATTTGTCCTTTTTTGTCAGTAAAGTATGATATTAAATAATTAAGACTTTTTGAGAACATCTATTTATAGCGAGTCCAGACAGCAGCACAAATCCCTGCCCATAATGCGAGCTCTTATGATAAGACCTTGGCAAAAGAAGATTGTGACTTGCACATTGCTCCACACAATTTTTCCGCAGTATACTTTGGACCCACAGTGCTTAGCTTCTTTAACATGTTTCAGCTACCTTCAAAATTCATTTCTATTTAATTTGAATTAGCTATCCTTACTCATGTTCACATGGAGCTAATGGGAAGTAATTTAATGAGCAGTGAATTCATTCGAATTAAACATTTGAATAAACTCTCAGTGTGAATATTGAGCATGGATGCACCAAATGTCAAATGCGGCTTGACAAGCACAATCTAAATTAAAACTAAATAAGTATCTGCCCTCACCCTTACAGTCACACTGTCAATATATAATTAGTTGAATATATTCTGTAACATTAAGTGCAGTTTGAATTATAGAGTATGATCACTATGATAGATAGTAGGACTGTTGAAATTACATCCTCAAATTTAAAAAAAATAAAATATAAAGCTGTGGGGATTTACAAGGTAAACAGAGAGCGTCTGAACTGTAAAACAGATAATATATCGGTGTGTCTGTGTATTTCTAATAACATCAATGTATGTCTCTGTCATGTAATCAGTAGTGTAAATTTTAAGTAATAAAAATATTCTAACCTTCATTCCAATGGTCCAAGCCAATCATACATTAAAATGTCGCCGTCAGCTCTTTCATCACACGATACAATTATCACTGGGGAATCCGAAGCAGAGTCAAGAGTGTTCATCCTTGTTAATGTGACAGTCAGAATTTCCTCGTAAACAATTCACACAAGATTCTTAGAATATATGAATCGGCATAATTCTGCTTAGAATAATGTTCCAGAGAAGTGACAAAGTACTTCGTAGCTGCAGATTAAATGAGTGTACATGTCTACAAACGGATTCTTTGTGAGAAAATGTTCAACTTCACAAATCATTCTATTTTCAGTTTGTAAACCATGGCAAACATGTGTCCGACGTCGACTCGAAGGGGCACACTAAAAACGGGATATACTAGAGACCTGATATTTACCTGACGTTTTAATTTTTAATTAAATGGTAATATTGAGTATTTTAAATTACTTATGTACAGACTATATGACTTCGAGGCATATGCTATACAAAAATTCAATTGTTTGGAACATTTACAGACAAATTTGAATCAGGTCAAATCAGTGCTTAGTACATCGCGTCTTTAGTACCTTCCTATTTCCCACAATGCCGCGCGTTGTTTACAAACAAGCGCGAAAAAATCCTCTAAACTAGGTACTAATTATTGTTGTGTACATCATCACATTTTAAAATTATTTGAATAAAAAGAAAACAAAGAAACACCGAATCAAAACTATATCTTTTAGATGCATCAACTAAAAATGTGCACATGTATGCAGTAAAGGCTTGGCTGGCTATAGTAGACAACTTGTTCCTGAAAGGTTTCTCACATACATGTACTTGTTTTATAAAAAAAACAATTAAATATAGCTTGAAGTTTATTTCTTTTTATATCAAATGACAAGATTTTATAAGTTCGAAATTATTTCAGTCAAACTTTTTCATAATATACCAATATTTTTAGCTATCAGAAAAAAGCGTGTATGAGCTATTAACCCCTAATTATAGGGGCCAGCCCCTTTTGGTTAATCAAATATGAAAGCTCTCGTAATTACCCACAACTTTTGTGATATATTTCTTACCAAATTATTCTCGGTTTAAAAGTTATTACACAAAAAGTAGCAAAAATTCAAAGAAAAAAAATTACTAAAATTTGCCGTTTTATAGCTTCCAAACTTTAAGAAATCAGCTATATAATTTTATCGTTGTGCACTTCTACAATGTATTGGCTACAAGTTCTCCAACTTTCGTGTAAATATCTTATGTCATTTTTGAGATTTTCAGTGGAAACGAGACATCAAAAATTTTCAATTAAAGGGCAATAACTCACAAATAAAGGCATGCATAAAAAAACTGAAAACAGGTTTAAATAGGTTTAACTACAAGCTATCTATCCTGAAAGTTTCATAACGATCAGTCCAAAGGTCTTTGAGAAATCGCCTGTCAAAAGTCGAGCGGGAAAAAAAAAAGAATAATAAGAAACAATAGAATAACAGTAGGGTCTTCCGAAGGAAGCGGAAGACCCTAATGAGTGGGATGTACCGAATTAAGGTCTTCCGTTTCCAATGGAAAGGACTGATATAATTCAATGGTTGTTCAAACTTAGCTTATGGACTTTTGTTTTAGTGATGATAAAAATGAAAGTCTTGTCTAATACGGGGCGACATATGCTATTGCTTGCAATAGCAGACTTTCTAGTTATTATTATTTTTCTTCCTGGGAAAATTTTGTCCTCGAGTGATCTTGTAAACTACACATCTGAGTAAGGTAAAATGTTTTTAGGGTAAGTAGACATGTTATGTAGATTTGCCGAACAAAGGTCATTTTGCGCGCACGTGCTTGCAAGAGCGCGCACGTGCAACACGAAAAATGACCGATTTAATTGATATCGGCGTAACTTTTTACATTTTTGATGAAATGCTTTGAAACTCATAATATAAGGATATATTAGTGGCATAGACAATAAGACATGGTCAAAATAGCAAGATCTCACGGGCATGCACGTGCGCTTCGCTCTGATTGGCTGAAACTAAAGTCTCTATATCTTTCTTGTTTTTTGATGAAATCCTTTGAAGTTTTGAACATAGCCATGCATTAGGATATCCTACAAAATGATATATAACAATTTTCATAAAAACACGTGCATGCACGTGCGCTGCAATCTGATTGGCTGAAACTTTAAATAGCTATAAGTCCCTTGATTTTCAACCAAACAGGATTTGATTTGGAACATAGATAGATATAATAGACTTCTACAAGAAGGTATGGTCATCACGCACATCCATACACGTGCGTGTACGCGCGCTCAATCTTCTACAATCTGATTGGCCGAAACTTTAAATAGCTATAACTCCCTTAGTTTTCAATTAAACAGGATGAGATTTGGAACATAGATAGATATAATGGACTTCTACAAGAATGTATGATCACCATGCACTTCAATACACGTGCGTGAACGTACGCTGCAATCTGATTGGCTGAAACTTTAATCAGCTATAACTCCCTTGGTTTTCAACCACACGGAGTGGGATTTGGAACATAGATAGATGTAATAAACTTCTACAAGAAGGTATGTCACCATGCTCATGTATGCACGTGCGTGCACGTGAAATGAGTAAAATCAAAAATACACTCGAATGAGCGTATTCTTTAATACTTTTGGATTAAATACTTTAATATTTAGTATATTAAAGTATATAGATTGTGTAGACAAGATGATATGGTCATAATGCACATGCATTCACATGCGCACGCATGCAGTGCTTAAATTTGAATAAACTTGGTACCCTTCTGGGTAAAAGTTGTTAAAGTTTCAAATGCATAAAATTTGTCTTATTTAATGAAGCTTACGGGGAATATGGCACCAAGAGGGAGATGGGGAGCGTTTGGGGAACATCTGTAACGGTCCCCGTTACAATTAGCACTAGTTATTATTATTATTATTTTTCTTCTTCCTGGGAAAATTTTGTCCACGAGTGATCTTGTAAACAACACATCTGACTTAGGTGAAACCTTTTTAGGGTCAGTAGGCATGTTATGTAGAGTTGCCAAACGAAGGTCATTTTGCGCGCACGTGCTTGCAAGAGCGCGCACGTGCAACACGTGAAATGACCAATATAATGGATATTGCCGTAACTTTTCTATTTTTTGATGAAAATTCTTAAAACTCATAATGTAAGGATATATTAGTAGTATAGACAAGATGACATGGTCAAAATAGCAAGATCTCACGCGCATGCACGTGCGCTTCGCTCTGATTGGCTGAAACTAAAGTCTCAATATCTTTCTTGTTTTAAGTCATAATCCTTTGAAATTTTGAACTTAGTCACACATTATAAAGGTCTACAGCCTGATATATAAGAATTTTCATGAAAGCACGTACATGCACATGTGCTGGAAAGAGCGCGCACGTGCAACATGTGAAATAACCAATTTTATTGATGATGCCATAACATTTCTATTTCTTGATGAATTTTTCTGAAACTCATAATGTAAGGATACATTAGTAGTATAGACAAGATGACATGTTCAAAATAGCAAGATCTCACGCACATGCGCGTGCGCTTCGCTCTGATTGGCTGAAACTAAAGTCTCAATATCTTTCTTGTTTTTTGTCATAATCCTTTGAAATTTTGAACATAATCCTACATTATGAAGATCTACAGCACAATATATAAAACTTTTCATGAAAGCATGCGCATGCGCGCGTGCTACAATCTGATTGGCTGAAACTTTAAATGGCTATATCTCTCTAGTTTTTTGACGAAATGCTTTGAAATTTAAAGCATAGACATGCATTAGAATATCCTACAATATGATATAGAAAAAAATTCATGAAATCACGCGCATGCACGTGTGCTGCAATCTGATTGGCTGAAACTTGAAATGGCTATAACTCCCTTGTTTTTCAACCAAACAGGATGAGATTTAGAACATAGATATAAGGGACTCCTAAAAGAAGGTATGGCCATCATGCACGTGCATGACGTGCATGCATTTGGAACTAAAAATACACTTGAATGAGTAATTTTTAATACTTTTGGACTGAATGCTTTAATATATAGTATATTAAAATATATAGAGAGTGTAGACAAGATGATATGGTCATAACGCACATGCATTCACATGCGCACGGGTGCAATGCTACAGTTTGAATATAATTGGTACATGTATCCTTTGGTAATTGGTATCCTTCTCGGTAAACGTTGTTAAAGTCAAAAATGCACAGAGTTTGTCTTATTTAATGAAACTTACAGGGAATATGGCACCAAAATGAAGTTGGGGAGCGTTTGGGGAACATCTGTAACGGTTCCCGTTACAATTAGCACTAGTTATTATTATTTTTCTTCTTCTTCTTCTTCTTCCTGGGTACTTTTTTGTCCGGGAGTGATCTTGTAAACTGTTCGTCTGATGTAGGTAAAACCTTTTTAGGGTCAGTAGACATGTGATGTAGATCTGCGGAATCAAGGTCATTTTGCGCGCACGTGCTTGCAAGAGCGTGCACGTGCAACACGTGAAATGACCAATATAATGGATATTGCCGTAACTTTTCTATTTTTTGATGAAATTTTTTGAAACTCATAATGTAAGGATACATTAGAAGTATAGACAAGATAGCATGGTCAAAATAATAAGATCTCACGCGCATGCACGTGCGCTTCGCTCTGATTGGCTGAAACTAAAGTCTCAATATCTTCCTTGTTTCTTGTCATAATCCTTTTAAATTTTAAAAATAGTCCTACATTATGAAGATCTACAGCATGATATAAAAGAATTTTCATGAAATCACGCGCATGTGCACGTGCTGCAATCTGATTGGCTGAAACTTTAAACGGCTATATCTGCTTTGTTTTTTGACGAAATTCTTTGAAATTTAAAATATAGTCATGTATTAGGATATCCTACAATATGGTATAGAATAAAAATCATGAAATCACACGCATGCACGTGTGCTGCAATCTGATTGGCTGAAACTTTAAATGGCTATTACTCCCTTGTTTTTCAACCAAACCGGATGGGATTTAGAACATAGATAGATGTAAGGGACTCCCACAAGAAGGTATGGTCATCATGCACGTGCACGCACGTGCGTGCATTTGGAACGAGTATAATTAAAAATACACTTGAATGAGTGATTTTTATTACTTTTGGACTGAATGCTTTAATATATTGTATATTAAAATATATAGATAGTGTAGACAAGTGATATGGTCATAACGCACATGCATTCACATGCGCTTGGGTGCAATGCTAAAATTTGAATATAATTGGTATCCTTTTGGGAAAACGTTGTTAAAGTCAAAAATGCACTGAGTTCGTCTTATTTAATGAAGATTACAGGGAATATGGCACCAAAAGGGAGTTGGGGAGCGTTTGGGGAACATTTTTAACGGTTCCCGTTACAATTAGCACTAGTTTACTTTGCAGTGATGACATGTCCGTCATGATTCAAGATCACATATATGCAATCTCAGAATCCAAAATGGGTAGAATTTTCCCCTTGCTCCAGTTCCATGGAAATATCCAAGTACAGATATTGTGTCAAGGAAACAACGTCAAAGAAATGTAAGCACTGAAACAAATGCTTGTGTGATATATTCTAAGATTAAAGTAGACGTAATGTACATATTGTTGATCCTATCGCTGATTAATTTTCATGCATCACCCATAGACATAACATTTTTGGATTTCAACAAAGCTTTTGATCTAGTCAAGATGATTCTTTTTAAAATTAAAGTTTAATTTAATTTTCGCTAGTAAAATTTAATCATATATAAATTAATGATTTAAAAAAATGAAAAAAAAGATTTTAAATATTTCTTTTCTGGTCATTCACTAGTTCGTCTAATTGAAACGAAGCAAAAACCATTTTGTTTTCATCTTGAATCCTTTAAAGCCATATATGGCGTATGTACAATGAAAATTATTAGACTAAAATTATAAGAACTTATTATTTGTATCATTACTTTATATAAACAAGATAAAGATAGAAATTTTCCGTAAATTACAAAATCTAAGTCAATTGCGTTATAAAGATATCAAAATTTAATTTGGATTCTCGGAATTTTCTCCGACTTGGAAGAAAATACAAAAGATTTCAATAACACATTACAGAGAAGATAAAATCGTATTATTAGATAAAACGAGGTGTTCTCCGTCCTCCGAATTGTATGAAAAGCTTTAATTTA